GTAGTAGTAGTAGTAGTAGTAGTAGTAGTAGTAGTAGTAGTAGTAGTAGTAGTGCAACAACTGGCAGTTATAGAGTTACAATGAGAGATGTGGCAAACACCAAGGGTATAGATGTGTCAAGGCTAGAGGAATGGACTATGGACGAACAATTTAAAGGTGGCGTCGACTGTTCTCTGCCTTGTGAACCTGACTGTACAGGGAGAGAAGTTCAAGTTTACACCAGATCACAGATGGTGAAATAACTCGCTTTTCATGTCACTCCGGTATGATGTGGATATTGATGATGAGAACGATTTGGATGATGATGATGATGATGATGATGATGATGATGATGATGATGATGATGATGATCATGATGATGATGATCATGATGATGATGATGATGATGATGATGATGATGATGGTGATGATGATGGTGATGATGATGGTGATGATGATGATGTAGTCAGAATGTGCGAAACGTTTGTTTTTATACAAAAAATAATCCCAAATTCATTCTGTACTATCAAAGTCTCCCTTTTTTTTTACAGATCAACAATGATGAGGTTGACAATGATACACACTATACCTAGTAATATTATACAATACCACACTATCTCACATGTACAACCCAATACCATACAATATTATACTAACGCCATAACAAAGCACGCTACACCTTACACACAACATATTACATTATACCCCACCATATTACACTACAGTATGCAATACAATAACATACCATGTTTTCCCTTATCACACTATAACACAAACAGAGCCTTATTATTCTATAGCCCTCCACACCACACCACACCACACTACACCACAACCCACCCCACCACACCATACCATACTATACCATACCATACCATGGCATACCTTACAATACCACACCCCACCCACCCCACCCCACCACACCACAACACACCATACCATACCATACCTTACCGAACCATACCACACCACACCACATTACACCACACCATACCACATCACACCACACCATACCATACCACACCACACCACACCACACCAC